TGACACTTGCCAATCAATGAAAATTGAGTTTTTTCCCCGTTTTGAAACGAAACTTCAAACAGGAAAAGGTGTTAATAAGAATGTGTTTGAGGAGGGAAGTGTTTGACTCTTGTGACGAGCTGTCATCATATGTATGATCGCGTTCTTTTAATGTGGTGTGATCAATCATTGACTAAATTCAAAATGGCACTATTTACTTATGCATTTCTCAAAAATTCGGGAACAATTGCGCTCTGATTTGGCAGAAAGATTATGACGAAGACGTATAGATGAAGATGTGAAATAAGGTATTTGAGCGTATTTGGGCAAGTTTTGATGTACTAAGACCGATTTGGGGAAATTCAAGAGACAGATGGAATAAAAGAAATTTTTATCTTATATGTGGACCATTTTTTGCATTTACCACATACCCCTTAGCTAAAACGCGCATGTATATTATTGAATAAGTTGGTGCCTTGTTCTTCGAACCACAACCGTCGCAAAGAATTGAAAGGTTTTATCACATCCTGCTTCGTTTAAATGGAAAGTTCTTGCTTATAAGATGCATATATGTATCAAAAATAGATAATTGGCATGCTAATTCCAAAAATCATGTTCGTTTTCGAACTGTGAAGACTCTAAGCTTGAGGCAGATGGGTTAGAGGTCATACCTATAATGCTAAATTGCACAACAGAAATGACTTATATGATTAACATTTCTAAGTTCACTAGGTCACTACATGGGCATTACGGTAATTTTGAATCTTTCACCAACCTATCATACACCAACTGTAACGTCCTACTGTACTAGATGTGACTTAGTAACGTTTCAGCGAGATCCAGAATATTAAGATGGGCGTCAGAAGTGTTCATTATTGTCCGATAGATGAAAATAAAGTTGAGGAAGTCATGCGAATTAACCTATATGACGATTCACTTATAAAGATATGCTACGTGGCATCTTAATTTCTTAGTGCTTTTTTTGGGGTTGTAAGAAGCACAACCTTATCCAAAGACCAATACACATAGTTGCAAGAAGCTTAGAATCCATCGTAATCCTCTTTGAAGTTTCTACGGTTACCTTAACCAAGTTTGTTATACATGTCTCCACTGTGGATATCACATGCGTAAGACGTAAAGCGCAACTGGCGCAAAAAATATTTGAAATCATTCATTGAACTAGATGAATGTTCAGAAAATGAATTGCTGTATCTATACGAAAACGTGACTAAAAATATTGAAATGAGAAGCAATTTGATGAAAAGCGGGGCACCTGTCTAGGCTCTAGAAGTGTGGTCAATTTATTATAAAATGCTTTCATCATTTGTTCTTCCAATGCCTATAACGAGATGCGAAGAACTCATGTATGCCTCTGAAAGGCATTAATGACCGTTTCTTGTTTCCGAGCTTGTGACTTAGTGGGACATGTGATTGAGAGTATCTGTAGCGCCATCGTAGTTGTGACCAGTCTATAGACACTAGGAGGATTTTTGCCTCATCACAGATTATCAGATGGTGTCCGAACTGTTAAAAATTAGGAGAATATGTATGATGGAGGGAAATTTTTAGTGTAATTCTAGTCAACAGCTAAGGCAATATGATTTTACATTTCTCTATCTGGACTCATTCCTAAGAATTCTGGTTTGCTATTTCATGCCATAATTCTTGCAACGCTTAGTCTAATGAGAGATTCAATAATAGTTAAATTTAGTAATTCAATACATTTAGCTACTTTACCATTATCGGACCCATCTCCTTAGATGTCCAAAAGGAAAGTTCGCCAATGTGTCCCGATAGGGGAAATACCCACATGATATAATGGCAACAACATATTTATTGTTTCAAACCAGTTACGCAGATAATATGAGCTCGGAGTGACTTTCGTGTTGCACATTTAAGGAGATGAGGGGAGCTGGAGAGAGATTGATGATTTTCAGTGTTCGCTTGAATATTGAGTGCTATTGCATCTGTTGCTATCACTTAAGGTCAAAACCTTAATCCCTTCCCATCTTTTGGCATTTTTGCTTTAAGAGATGACTACACTCCTCGGCCTTCATCTCCATAAACTTTGAGCTAATGAAAACAGATTCTTTGACTAACAAAATTAAGAATTGCACTACATAAACTATGTGATTTACGATGCCAGACACTCCCTTAAAAGATTTATTGCCGTAGAGCAATGTTTACTACAATTTTGATACTATTGCACTTTAAATCATTCAGTGTGGAAGCGATAGATGTACTTCCAAGGAAAAA